TAATCAGATATTAAACAGAAACAATMTTTCTGTTCGTGATTCAGTTGTGTTTAACTAAGAATGTTTATGCATCTGTTAATCACAATAATGACATGTCACAAAGAAGAAGAATCACTTCTATTCTTTTATTGTGCCTGAAAAAGATTAATTAATGGTATAAAATCACAGAAAATATTCACCATGTTTTCATTGTGTTTTATATAAATCACTGTGTTATTTTACTGGAAACATCAGTAATATAATTTTGAGTTTTCTTAAGGAAATCTTACATTTATCTGACACAAGTTCAGACTGATTATTTAAACAGAAATGTTAATTAATCATCATAAATGTTTTACAGTGATTCCTCTTACAGTCTATCAGAAGAAAGCTAGAGAAGATATTATCAAATGTCTGTTTAAAACAGCTACACAGCATGACCTTGACTGGCGTCTGGCAAACTCTCTTATCTTCTTTTCTTTTTTCTGACTCATGCTAAACGCCTCAGGGCGGATCTAAGTCGTCCCTCTCTCTGTACTAACACGGACGTCTTAGAGAGACAGCCATTTCCTTCCTAGATGCCGAAACGGGAAGAGGGGCTGATTCTCTCTCCGGAGGACAGCCGGGGCCTCAGATTTCACCCATCCAGCCAAATAGGGGAAATCTGACGGCCGGGCAGGAGCACGCTGCTTCTGTCCACCTGGAGACATAAGTCTCACAAAAGTGTTTTCAACTCCCGAGGGGAGACTTTTATTTTGAAGGACRACCGGARCCACAGCTGGAATCTTTCTAGCCGGGCTGAAACAGACGAAAAGTCACCTAAACAACACCTTTTCGCCAAGGACCAGCTGGACAAGCTTCCTGAAGGGTCGTGGTGAGACAGTTCATACCAGGGGTGCTTGAGCAGACATCACCAGGTAATGCTGACGTGTTCGTGGGTGACGTGTCAAGTTGAAGCTGAGAGCAGAGGGGACGTGCTGAACCGGTTGTAAACCTTACCAGAATAAAGGCAGAAACACTAATCCCTAATTTTCTTACCTTTTCTTACCTTTCTTTGCCAACCCTAAGTGAAAGTGCCAGTAAATTGTTTAGTTTTAACATCAGAACTGACGTTTACTGTCTATATAAGTAATCTGAGTTAATGTGAAAGAAATTCGGACGCGGGTTTTATCTCATTTACTTAGACGCTTATTATAGGAATTCACAATCAGGTGTAAACTATGATTTTGTTCAATTTGTGTAAATAAATGATTGCATAATCTTTTATGAATCAACTTGAACTCGTCTGACGTTCCCTCATTGTGTCCCTTCACTTTGCACAGACAAATATTAAAGTAATGAGGAAAACCTTGGTAAAATTTTCTCTCATAACTTAGTTATGAGAAGATGTAGGGAACTTATTTTACATAAGTAACTCACTCCTACATGAGGTATATGATGCAGGATGTCATTGCCAGTATTTATGGTGAATGACTCTCAGCTTTTATAATACTGACTGAATTTTAAAACATTTTTTGTTTTCTAAGGTAAAATTACTGTGGCATAGTGTTGCAAACGTAATTCATTATTTAGTTTTTGCAAATTTTATTAAAATTTGTCCAATAGTTCACAAGATATTTTGGTCAATGAATAAAAATTAAGTAGCAAACTATGAAAACTACTATTTTACCTGAAATTATTACAACCCAACACGACACCAACTATGTTCTTGCCAATATCATGAACATCCCCTTTGACTGTCGCCAGGACAATGGTGCCTTGATAAGGATCCTGCAGACAGAAAAAGAAAGAAATGAAAACATTGGGGATCTGTGTAGACAGGAAACACACTGAAGATCTTTTCACACACAAACACTTAAGACTGACTTTACAGAACTGACTACTGTAACTCCCTGTTTACTGAAATCCCTAGTAAAAATCTTTAGAACAATCAACATTAACGGCACCAAGTGGTCAATAAGAAACACCTGTCAGTCACATGTTCCAATAGTTGTGCTCACTTGAAAACTGGGTGGGTTCAAATGACAGGGTAGTATGTTCTGAGTTGTTTAACACATCTACATGTAAATACCAGGAAATAAAAGCTGACATTCTGAGCTCTTGTCTCATGCTCATCTTTTGATCTGAAACCCAAATGTCTTCAGTGAACAACACAAACAAGGGAATTTGACTTGCTGTTCCAATACCTGAAGAGGGGACTGTATATTTTTTGCCTGAACAAACTGTTTTCTAAATAACTAGATACCCACTGTAGTTTTAATCCTTTAATGCCATATTTATTCAGTTTTCCAAGCTTTCAACATTATTGGTGTAGTCAATAATGTTGAAAACTTTCTTCAAATCAACAAAAAAAGCTAGCACAATACWGTTTTTGATCAACAGCAGATGTTATCTTTTCTTCCAGGTCCATGAGAGCCATTGATGACTCTCTTACTTCATCCTTCCTGTGATCCTGTAACATCATAGTTTGACTCAAGCTTCATTCATCACCTGTCAGAATTAACGCCTAAAGTTTAGTTGCGTCGGCCACAAACTTGGCTTTGTGTAGGCTTAATTTGGGAATGTGAGTTTAGTTAGAGTCTGGCTTCAACTTATGGCCTCAGAATAAGCTCCTCTGAAGTCATCGCACAGAACCAGTCCTGCAGACTGAGCGCTCAGCTGGGAGACAGCTGTCTCTGGTGCCAGTCTCGTAGAAATACCTCCATTTCCTCGTTCATCGGACCGATGGCCCACAACCTGTCTGGTATCTTACAAGTAAGTGAGTAAGTAAGTAAGTAAGTGAGTAAGTGAGTGAGTGAGTGAGTGAGTGAGTGAGTGAGTGAGTGAGTGAGTGAGTAAGTAAGTAAGTAAGTAAAGTTTTATTTATAAAGTGCCTTTCACAGAAATATATTCACAATTATTAATGTAAAAATGGTGTAAAGATAAAATCAAACTGAGTAAAACAATTAAACATAAGCAACGTAATGAAACATCAAATCAAGATTAAATTCTAAAATTGTAACTCAGACACACGGTCAATGCAGACAAAATATACATCTTTTCCCTTGTCTGGGAAATTTTTGTTGACCTCAGTCAGGGATCGGATGCAGAGCATGAATAGAATTGGGCCCAGAATGGAACCCTGTGGAACTCCGCAGGTGAGTTTGGCTGAGTCAGAGCGAGATTGCCCTAATAAGACGGAGAAAAAGCAGTCTGAGAGGTATGATTTGAACCATATAAGAAGTCGACTTGTTTATCAGGAACTCGGTGGGAGAGAAACAATTTGTTGATGATTGTGCTCTGGGAAGTTCCTCTTCTGCCACTTAACTAAGAACCTCAATAGGATTTAATTAAGTTTGCTTTCTCAGAATCAGTTTCGTTTTTCCCCCAAGTTTTAGGCAAAGTTAGTGTAAAAGCAACAGCAAAGGTTTGTTTTGTGCTAAATCTATGTTGATTGGAGATGAGTAATAACTTTTGGAAAAGGGTAAAAAATGTAAAGTCAAGATTTCGTGTAAAAATAAAAGGCTTTACTTGTGAGTCTCTCATTGACTTTCCTCCAAGACAAACTACGATGTATGAAGTTTTCATTAGTTCTCAGTCAAGTGCTAATCTTGCAGAATTTTCTGTTGCACAAAGCCAAACAGCTGAATAATGGCACAAAACTAAAGACTCTAGAACTAACTTTCTTATTTCAACAGACATAAAATGGACGTTACATCCGCTTACTGAAAAATAATTAACTTCTCAAACCAAGATTTGCCTCTGTAACCACTCCCACAATGTAGTTGAAAGAAACAGATTTACTAATTGTTCTGTACATTAAATGGTAAAAATAAGTCATAATTTGACAGAAACATAACATTTTATGTGGGCAAATAAAAAAAACAAGTGTTTAGTGGTTCATTTTGTAGGGGTAACCCTGGTGAAAAAAAACTTTTCTATTGTTTTTTTCTTTGTCTTTGATTTTATTTTTTACACTTATAAGAAGAAAATCATTTTAAAGTGTTTTTATTTTCTTTAAGTGAATAGGACAAAAGTCCTATATATATATATATG